CACTCTGAAATCCTATGGGGCTGAATGTGTTACTGAATTTCTTTATCCCTTATTTTGTGGGTTTTGTTAATACATCTGTAGACTGTTTGTAAATTCTGCTGTTTTTGTTCATCTGACAGTGGTGTCCACCATAAAAAGAAAGACTGCAGCTCGCGCACTGTCTTACACAAAGTGCATCGAGCTATACAAGTGGGACTACATACCTTATTTCCACGACAACTGATTGTTGTTCATACACCTCCAAAAAAGGTTTGTTTATTGTATCTTGTCATTTTGTTACCTTCAAAAAATGCATACAATTAGGCTTTCTTTCCTGTCAACATTTGTCTCAGGACAATCAGTTAACAAACATCTAGCCTAAAAAAGTCTGAGAAGATTTGAAAGAATACAATAAATCTGCAACTAATAGGTCATAATTAAAGCTGACTGACCCATCCAATTTCCAGGTGAAAAAGCACAAGGGCAATGGAGGCTGGGGTGACAAGCGGGATCACGCCCTCTGTCGTTCGTTTAGTGTGAGCACAGCCCCTTACTCTGTGATGGTCAACAGCTCTGTATTGTCGACACAAGTGGTTGGTAACAATTCAGTCAATGGGAGTGCGATAGTACGCAGTGGCTCTTGATCATGGTACTGCAATTTTCTTATTACTGATGTATATAAGGTGAGATTTACAATGTGATGATTTTTTTTTTGCTCCAGGGAAGGAAATATAGTTGTAAATGAATGAGGTCCTTATTAATGCTGAGATCTTTACATTACTGCAAATTGATTCGTTGATCAGAAAATGGATAATCTTCGCACAATAAAGTATATGGATGCCATTTAAAGCAAGTACCATTATTCATTATTTGTTGCTTTTGTTACCATGCTTTCATTTTACATATAGGTAGATGTGTGGAAATTGAAAACAACAAAAGCAAAAGTGTAAACATGTTGCAAGGCTATTTTCTTTGATTTTATGGAAAGTTCATAATCAGTAAGCAGAGTTTGATACCTCTGTATCAAGCACAACAAGGCATAGTATTTTGTCAGAATTACATATATGAGATTATTCTCTGTAAGTATGACAATCAGTTTGTATTTAACCCACTATGAATGGGTATATGAATATTATTGTATGTTTGGAAAGGCTCATACTGTTGAAGTCTTTTTAGTTAGTGCTTTGAAAGGCATTTTTTTTCAATATTTGCATTATATTCTATTTTTTTTGTGCTTTGAAAGACATTTTTTTCAGTATTCAGTATTATATTCCATTTTATTTGTAACCCATTGCTGCTGGGTCTATGCACTGTCCACTGTGGATTTTGTATTATTAGTTTTAATTTGTGATAAACTCACCAAGGACTTTTTTAATAAGCCTACTGGAACTTGCCTGTTTACCTCTTTTTTTTTTAAGGGTTTTAGTGTCTGTTACTATTATTATTGTTCTTAACTTCATTACTGTTAATATTATTATCATTATTTTCTTTTTATTATTATTATTAATTATTATTATTATTATTATTATTATTATTATTATTATTGTTATTGTTATTATTGTTATTATTATTATTGTTATTATTATTATTATTATTATTATTATTATTATCATTATTATCATTGGTATTGTTATTATTTATTGCCATTGTCATTGCCATCATAATCATTATCATCATTATTATTATAACATTGCTAATAATAGAAACAATGAAAATAAAGGCACTTCATCTAGAAAATCCAAGGAATGGGGTAATCAGGTCAGGTTTGGTAGACCAAGTGATTGGTGATTCAGCATTTCCAGAAGCATCATTGGCAATACAAAATGAAGACAGTGGACATGCACTCCTGGCGTCTACAGATTGAGAGACCTATCTATACGTAAAGATGTATTGATTATTTTTTTGGCAGGTGTAAAATAACTCATTCTTTTGAATTATATATTTTTTTGTTACAATAGTACAATTTTTATCTTATATTACTAGCGAGTCTTACTGCTTTTTGTCACATGCTACAGTATTAGTCTTATTGTTACTGCTGTACCAAACCTTTACTTGTGCATTGTCGTAGCTTGTACTATGTTATGGAGTGGCTTTAATGTTAAAGTACTGTATGCTTTGCTGGTTACATTTACAGATAAGGTAACTTGATTACTGTCCTAGGGATTGTGGTCTGTATGAAGAGAATTTTTGTGTATACTCATCAGTTTTGCTGATACTTTTTTTTTCTTTATTTCTTTATTTTTTTTTTAGTTTTTCTATTTTTTATGTCAGGGCTTCTTGCTGGAAAATTATAGCCCTGAGTGCTTATATGCTGTTTATGATAACGATATTTCGAGAACTCTATATATATATATTTGTCGTAAATTCTGTGGCTCCTTTTATACGAATCACATCCATGATTAAAGGTTGTGCTCTGTAGTATGTCGATGGGTGCTCTTCTTATCGCTAAGCTGTTATTCCCCTATTTCTATGCTTTATACCCCATAAAAAGATACTCTTTAGCATTTCTTACTCAGTTTTTTATATTTTCAATAGTTTTTTTGGTTTATTTGTTGGTGTATGTTCTTTTTTATCTCAGACATTTTTTGTTGATGAAATTTTAATAGCACAAAAGATATATTGCCATTTTTATATATATACTTTTTCTTCAATATTTCTTCTTGTTCCACTAGAATTGTAAGTTCTTGAAGCACTTCTCCAATCTACACAATACTAAAATAGTACAGGTACAGTTTATTGCTGTGGTCTTTGATAAGTAAACAAATTATGTGTAAATCATGCTAGTCACTTGATAGTCAAATTATGTCCTGGAAGTTTATGAAGTCAAAAACTTGTCAAGAGTCATGGCTTGTGACACGTGTCAGACAGTAAAGGTAAATGAATGAAGTAGATTTTCATAAGGATGCATGTTTCAGATGATATGATGACTGCCCATGACGGTTTGATGAATAAATTGGAAATTTAAAGAAATAAAACAAAATGGGAAAAAGTGCAGAATTTTGTCCTGGTTACATACTCAATTACAGCTGTAGGGCATATATGTATTATTTTTTTTCTTGTGCTAGAAGTATTTATGAATATGATTACTAGAAACAGGGCAGGCCATCATGGTAACTGAACTAAAGGAAGGTATTTAACAATATCCAGGGGCATTAAACCTAGTTTCTCTTCAGCATTGCTTATAACTGCTCTCATGTAATTAAAAAGCTGTCATATAATCTAGGAAGTTATTTAAAGATATGCTTATCATCTATTTTCTCATCAGTATACTGTATCAGTGGGAATGAGATATTTTCTTGAAGCCACCCATGCCTTTTGTGCCAAAGAGGCACATTTACAAATTGGAAGAATATTTGCACTATGGTGTTATTTTCACACAAACCCTCTTTTTATGCTAGTGTAGCCTTAATCTGTCAATGTGCCAGAAAACTTGATTGTGGGCAGACTAATGTAGCAAAGTAGTTAGAGAATATTTGTATATTTGGTATTGTATGTAATGCAATGTTTTGTGGAAAGATGCTGTAAGAAAGGGCATATTTATAATGAAAAAAGTATTAAAAAAAAAAAAAAAAAAAAAAAAAAAACACAAAAACAAATGCAAAAAAAATCTGCACAGAATTTATAATACAGAATTATAGTTTGCACATATGTAGTCTGTGCTAGAATACATTTGCCAGGGTTTGTCACATGTGGGAAATTTATACATATTAAAAAATAAACTGTATTTTTGGGGCTATAAGCCTGTACTAGTCATACTCAGTATTTATTTAGGTACTGTACAGAGGGCCATTCATATATTGATCTATTTATGCTTGCAGTGCTGTACCCTAGGCCTAAGTCAGAATAAATAGAAAAACAAACAAACAAACAAAAAAAAAACACATTCTTCACCATCTTCACGTCCATCGATTCTCATTCCCCTACCCACCGGAATAATGCTAAAATTACTTCGATCAGTATGCAAGTGGCCCCAAATCATCATGTATGCATCATAATTTTGTGAGTTCATATTGTCCCCATATAATCACAGTATGCTAAAATGTCCTATGATGTCCATGTGGACTTTGTTTCAATTCGTTTTATGTCTTATATTTTTGGGAACTTATTGATGTTTTCGTTGGTCGTAATCAACCAGATATTGTTTACTCTGGTTATATATGCTAAGGAGAGGAATTTTGATACAGGTCTAGTTTACAAGGTATAATTTACAAGTGTTAGATATCCTATCTATTAATACCTCAATCAGTGTGTTAATAAAGGTCAATATTTCGAAAAGTAGCGATATTCTCTTTCTTTTCGGTTTTGGCAGAGACTTCAATGCTTGTTTTATGTATTTTAAAAATTTGATTGATTTTTTCATTGTGGTGAGGTGCCATTATGATTTAGTGTTGGTAACCAGTATCTTGATCTTTTAATGATCAATTTTGTTCTGCGTCTACTTTCCCAGAAAGTAGGGCATTACAGTTTGCTAATTTGTCAGGAACGAAGAGAGAATGAAAAATAATAGGAAAGAGTTTAGATAGGATAAAGACAGTGAGTGTTTGCATATTATTTCAAATCTTTCAAATGTTTTGGTTTTCATGTTGCTACTTCTTTAGAAGGGAGAGGGAAAGGAAAACAAATCAGGGAGAGAGAAAGATATAGATTCTCAAGGAGCAGCATTCTTTTGCCTGGAACTTTAGAATTTGAAGCACTTGTTACTTAGCAGAAATTGCCATGCATATCTGTAGCACAAAAAGCTTTTACTTTTATGTTCTCCATTATATTCTCATTCTTTTTAAGAGGTGTCTTGTGCTTAATTTTTAAGGAATGATTTGAGTTATTTATGTGTTATGGCATTGATGCTTCTTGAATGCATTTATTGAGTATTTCAGATATGTATATCAGTGAAATTCTGAATTTAAACATGCTTAGAAAAATAGCATGAATAAGAGAAAAACTAGTCAACGAGTGTAACAGTTTAATTTGAACATTTAAGTTTACTTAAAACTGTTGAACTGCTTTATTAGACATACTATACA